AGATTGATATTTATAGATTAATTTTAATATTTTTAACTAAATACAAAAATATTTAGCTCAAATATAAAATTACATAATTTTGATAATTTTACTAACAAGAAAGCATATAAATTGGTTTTTGCATTTTTTATGATATTTCATGAAATGTTTTATAAGTAACCTAGAAAATAATCAAAGATGAAATTAAAATTTTTGAAATGCCCAGATTTCACAAGCCTCATTAGCACTAGCTTTACTAATTATGATTAAAATAATATCTAGACATCATAAATGTTTGTCAAATTTTCGCAAATTATAAAAAAGAGTTCAAACGTTGCTCTAAAATTTATTACATGTTTTAATACAAAATTAAAATCTTGTCATATAAAAAATTTCCCAAATTTGACATGAAAATTTTATGTTTTATATAAAATACCTTAATAGTTTATTATTTCAAAATATTTTTAGTAAAGATGCACTATTAAGATCTATATCAGGTGGAAATTTTTTTATCACTGATAAATATAAATGGGAAGAATTCAACTAGCCCCGCCCCGTTCACCCCTATTGAAATCAGGAATTTTAAAAAGACTATTAGATGTGTTAATGATTTAATCATATGAAAATATTTACATTAGGGCGAATCTCTAAAAACACGATATAAATATTTTTATATATTATATTGTGAAATCCTAAGATACCATTTTGTTTATATAGATAAAACAATGAAGGAATTTTGTCTAAGAGGATTCTAACCCTCTATTACGCGACATATCAATAAATGATATTATTTTTAAAAAAAACTTATTTTTGTCTTTAAAGGGCCCTTAATAAACTCAAAATAATTTTAAAATAAATTTTTTTTTTAACCGTAAAAAAAATCAGTGTGTGCATTTAAATACACAATACGTGTAAAAAGTATCATATTTTTTCAATTTCAAACCTATTACAAAATAAAGACATATAATTATATTATTTGATAAATAATGTAATAAAACAAATTTATATAATTTTCATGAAATAATTTAAAACAATCGTTTTTTTAGTAAAACATAATGCACCATATTTGGTACAAACATTTCCGCTAGAATAAACATCTGCTGAATTTGAATCAAGAATTTCCTCATCTGGTGAACCACTAAGGTTAGAATCAGAACTATCTTCTGTAATACAGTACATTTTGGCTATAGACAACAAATAAAGAACATTTAATAACATAAAAAAAATAATCAAAAAGCCCTCATATTGCATTTGTGCGCATTATATATCTGGGTACACGTACCTTAAAACTTAAATTTAAAACACTATTATTGTATATAACAATATGTTTATATATAAAATATTACTTTTACCTTTAATTAATAGGATTCTTAATTTCCTGTTTCTAAAAAATTTGTACAAGAGAAATGATATGATTTATAAAATGGAAAAAAGCCATCTATTAGAAAGTTGTAAACTACGTATTTTAGAATTTTTATATTGATAGCTGATTAAACTGTAGAAAAATTTATACCTATTTTATGGTATGTGTATTCAAATATGAAGTACGCAATAGAGGGCTAAAGATGGAAGAATTTTTTCCCTTTAAAATTGTTTTCAGTATAAAATCTCTATGTTGGTATTGGTATAATAGTATAAATATTGCCTTGCCTGTTCTTATAATTTCAATTCTTATTTGTTAATATAATAATTATAATAATCGAACCGTTTTATATATTTTCCGAAACCTAAAAACAATTATAGATCTTTTTTCTTCCCTCTGATTTTATTGTATCTCAATCCCAAGATGATATTTTACTTTTTTTCAATGATATTCTTCATTTTGCTTGAGAAATGTACACTCCTTACTTAGACATAAAGCACGGATTTTATAAATCTATATAACCTAAGAGTAAATATGTATGCGAATTGGACTAACAAGACCCCAAGTTCAAAAGTATTGATGGACGAATCGTTGCAGGATTTACGATGGACATCCGATGATACATTCTACCTTACGACCGATATTAATTTGGACGAAAGTTTTGACAACGCAATCGTAACGTAAGATATTACTAATTCTTTTATTTTAGAACACGAAGAGTAGGTTTAATAATAATTAGAATATATTTAGTATAACAAAGTGCTTATGTTTAATACGATTCGTTTGGCATAAGACTTGAAAAAGCTTTTCTGCTTCCTAGGCGTACTGGGGTTTTCTAGGGAGGAGGGGGAGGGAGTAGATTTTTAAAATTAACTAATCCCCCCCCCTACGATTATGCCGATGCTTTTGTTAAAGAAGAAAAAAAATATAATTGTTCGATTCCTAATATAATTTACATTAGAGGTATCTTTATAATTTCACTCTGTCACTAAATTCCATCTTCTCTATTCATCTAGTTCAAGTTCCGGCTCATGTCCCAACTTCGACAATTAGATGTTTAAAATATTTTTTACAATTATATTTTAGGTGTGAATGGAAATCTCTCTACATGCCATTCACTATAACCGATAACAAGGTTCGAGCCGTACTCAGAATGATGTCATCTCCAAGAACAGTCGAAATTACAGCTAACAAAGTAATACTAAATTCATGGCATATAGCAGGGATGTGAACCCTTTGACATAAAAACAGTGTCCGGGCTTAAAGTTAAAATTTTAAAAGGGGTTTGGGTTCAGGGTTTGGAGAACATAAAGAAATATTAAATCAATATTAATAAAATAACATAATTTTTTTATATTTATTAATTTTTATTTTACTCCATATAAACAGAATTTACAAGCAAAAAATTAATATAATCATTTTTATTTTTTATATTATTTAATCTTCAAACAAAATAAACATGCCAAAACTTGACAAACTTTAATATATTTACATAATTACTTATATTTTATAATTTAATTTAATTTAAAAATTGAATATCTAAAAAACATTGGATTTTATTTTCCTTTCTTGATTTTTGTCTCAATAACTTTCTATATGGATATAAAACAAAATAAGTAACGTATTCCTCCTATTATATTATTATAATAAATTTTTACCCATAAAATGGATGTAAAAACTTAAAATTTTTAAAAAATTTTAAAAATACGAAGAAAATATTGGTTCACATCCCTGACATAGTATATTTTTAAGTTATCATTAATGGCTCTAAATTAAAATGTTTTACTATCATTTTTAGTGTTGTAACATATTACTTTATAACATAATGGTATGGTATACAATAGAATAATAGGCGTATCCAAGATTTTGCTAAGGGAGGGGGGGGGGCACTATTGGATGAATTTTTTCCCCTTAAATTTTATTGGTAATATTTACGACCACTTATTGTAGGCCTTTGGGTACATTAGATTTTAACAAAAATAATTTTAGGTTTTCACATTTTTTTAATTAAAATCCTTTTTTTAAAAAATTTTTGAATTATAGTCGTTATTTAAAAAAGTTATTAACTTTTCCTAAATTTTCTTTCAAATTTTTCCTTATAATGGTATATTGTATACATTATTTGGGGAAAGAGGGGGGGGTGTAGATGGGAAATTTTTATTAACTTAAAATTATATTTACGAGAACAGGCAAATTGGCGATGGGGATGAAATTCTCCCCACCATTGGTAACGCGCCTGAATAGGATCATTTGATAAGATAAATCTAAAACGCTGAAATTTTTTTTTAAAGATAAATAATGTTAAATGAATTTTTCAAAGTGATAAATAATTATCAAAAAGTATTTTGAATTTGAAAACGCTGAAATATAAAAAATAAATTTATATACACAGTAATATCTGTCTAACTCGATCGCTTTACAATCTTAACTTGTCCATCTTGAGTAAAAAAAATTTAATTTTCTCTAAATAATTTTTTTTTTACCACTAACCTTATAATTTTTCGAGGATTTTATTTTACTATATTTATTAACAATGCCAGGCTTACTCGGAGAAGACTGCTGATTATTTAATTTATGATATGTCCCCTGGTGAAATATTAGAATTTTATTGCAAGGGAACTGCGGCACCCCCACCTTATTTCGAGTGGATACGGAACGGATCCTTATACCGTAATTATATAATTAATATACGTCAGCGAACTATTTCGCTTATACTATATCCATAATATATTTTTTTTCAATTTTTTTTTGAGAATATTTGATGTTAGTTTAATGAGTTAAGGACCAGCTATAATATATTGAAACTCCAAAGACTAGTTATAAATGAGGTTTTAATCAAGCTTTAACACTTTTTAATTTGTCATGTCAATAGAAAAGATTATTAGGAGTGAAATTGTTGGTCCCTATAATTTAGAAGTTCTCAATTTTATTTTGCTAAGATAGAAACTATATAAACCTGTCACATCTTTTAGTTCTCTTAGAGTTAGTTGGGCAATGGCTAAAAATTGACTTCGGTTTAATCTATCATCGTTCTCTTGTAAGTTGAGTTATATATATTTTTTTTAAAGAAACCTCTAGGCTGAGGTGATAGTTTTAGACTAAAAACTAGGGTTTTCCCAACTATATACCTAATTGACGTTTGGTTAATAAAATAAGTGTTTTATTTTCAAGGATATAATTAATGAACATATTGTCTCTCCCAATTATCGAAGGTTTTTTAGGTCAGATCTTATAATGGGATCAGATAATTATCGAGAAAATATTTTCCTTATTGTTTGAAGATTAAAATTCAACCGCGAAATAATTTTTGGTACTATCTGAACCGGACTGTTTTTCACCATACCTCAAAAGTTAAATTATGCTTCTAAATTCCCAAATAAATTTTTTACGATGTTCATGGCAGCCGTCTTTATGGTGGAGCAAAGGTGTGATCATAACCGACTAAAATATATTACTGTTTTATAAAAGCGTCTCATTCTTCATAAAGCATTAAAATTTCACCCTTTTCTATTTTACCATTAAATGATAAAAGTTAGCCATTTATTTTTAAATTTTAAAACAAAAAATAAATTCCTCCCATAAAAGAAATTGGTCCTAAGTTGATCTTGACAAATTTTGCCCTTATCAAGAGATCAGAGATAGCCTGCGTTGCCAGGAACAAACTTGGAAGCATAATGAGCACAAAGGTTTATTCTTAAACATTTATTATACAAAAACAAAAATAAAATTAAGTTTAAAAAATTTTAGCATAACTGCTTTTCTAAAACATAATATGGTATTAATTATAAAGGTTTTGGTAGTATTTAAACCCGGTCCCATTGATAAAATGAGCACAGCTCCCATCCTAACTATGAGTATACTCAATGAGGAAAAAATTGAAACCACTTCTTCTTTAGCTAAAGCTGACGACATAATTGATTCCAAAGCTGACGACATAATTGATTCCAAAGCTGACGTTGATGCCAAAATTGACGCCAAAAATTCTGATCAAAAAGATCACAAAAGGGAAGAAAGTCCAATTTCTCACGATGTCATTAATGGAGATGTCAATAGGGAAATGATAGACCCTTCGGAGGACAGGAAGGAAAGAAGCATGGTAAAGTCATATAATAAAATGTCAATAATTAAGTGATATTGATATTATTATTTAATTACTGTTTTATATAATGATCTCTCCTTCCCATCCTAAATTTGGCTAAATTGAATTATATTTATATATTTAATTCAAAATTTTATAAATTGTTAATTTTTATCACTTCAGCAGAGCGATAGTTTTGTTGTTAAAAGAGGGTTCGATTGCGAGATTGATACGGATTGTGTACTACATAGCGAAAACGCCAGATGTCACAAAAACCAATGCGAATGTCTCTCCGGGGAACTTATGACCAGGTAGTACTTTATTTCTTATATTTTTATCTCTCATTCCTTCGAAAAGTATAGGTAATTGGTTGACGAGAAATTATTTTAATATTATTGTTTACTTGGAAATTTTTTAAATATAATCAATATTATTATTTTGGGTCAACATTAATATTGATTATATTTAAAAAATCACTTTTATTGCTTATAACCTAAGTTCTTAATAAAGTATGCACGTTATTTATTTTGAAACAGCATTTTCTGATATCCATAATTCTCTATTAGCAAACTTTATTGAGGTGAATCCTTACCTAAGTTAAGGTCAAAGTTTAATAATCTCGATTATAAAATGATAACATTATTTAAGGCAATATATGATAGTATAAAATAAATAACAGTTCTTTAAAGTTCAATGTCAAAGAAAGCTACGCTATTAGTGAATATTTGTTATTTTTAAAATTAAGTAGCAACGGTAACGCGTTTGGCCATTTCCAAACACAACGTTTTTTTTCAAATTGTTTTTGAGTTATGATTTTTATTAACTATTTAAATAGCATCTGAAATTCCGAATAGTAACTTTTTTTTAAAAAACATTATATTACATAAAAAAAATTCATTCGACAAAAATTATCCTTTGTTTGGAAATGAATAAAAAATTAGCTGAAATCATGCCTCAAAACCGCTTTGAAAAAACGTTCTATTTGGAATGACTGTAGTAAAATTTTATAAGTTCCATATATGTACTAACGTTAATAGCATTACATATAGTATATTTGCACAATTATAAGTTAAAAAAAACATAATCTTATTTTGACATGTGAAATAATTTGTGCAATAATTTGTGCAATAATTTTGAATATTTTTTAAATTATATTAATTTACTTAAAGTTAATATTATAATGAAATCCGCGAATTATGAATAATAAATATCAAAAACCTGCAGACCAGGCCCTAAACCCCGCCAGGAAATCTAGGTCTGGCCGTATTTTAGTTATTTTAAATATACCCGGGCTGGGCTGTATACTTTAAAACCAAATATTTGAAATGGTCATTATTGGCTATAAAAATCTAAAATAAATATAATATATTTTAAAAAATCCCGGGCCCAGCCTTTAAATTTTTTTTTTTTAAAAAGCACGGCCGGGCCTGGAAATATAAAATCCGGGCCGGGCCATGCAAATGGTACTCTGCAGATTTCTGATAAATATCACCGTAATATCTTTAATCTTATTAAATATAATTTTTATTAGTACCAAAAATGAAAAAAAAACGTTATTATTTAAATTACAAGAAAATTACAGTTATTGTCTCTCCACATGACAACTAAAAATATATCAGGTTAGAACTCTGCTCAAATTTTTTTGACATGGTCCGAAATTGTTATAAATTTTTAAGCTCAAATTTCTATTTTATATGAATTAAAATAAATTTTTCTAAATGTAAATGAAATAAAAAGTATCAATTTCTTTGTCCTTATCAGAGCTAAATTCTAATTACCATTTTATTTTGATAGAAGAATATCATTTATATATTATTTTTAAATAAGTTTATATATTTTTAAAACCGGCCACTGTCCGAAATATTTTTAAGATTTTGGGTACGAGCCGAATCGCAGGAGTCTAAGCCGGGAAACAAAAAATAAACAAAATAGAAACCATCAACTGACGCAAACTAACAGGGGTGAACTGAAAATTTCTAGGTTCCGAAAGCAAATTCAGCCCCCCCCCCCTATATTTCTTTCAATTTCCTTTTTTTGACATTTGGACCGGGTTCCATTAGACGCTTATTACATGTCATTTCTTATATATTTTAATCCAAAAATCTAATAGATACATAATTGTTCTGTCAAACTATTTATAATTTGATAAATTATATGGTGTAATACTTAAACCCTGTAGTGATTGGGATTTTTCGGGTGTTTATCTTTGCATTCGTTTATGTAAAGCCTCTTCGTCCGATTTATTGTATTTTTTGGCATTTCGTCTTGCACCCAGATGGTATTTGGCAGTTTAAATCAGAAATCTTAACATTTAAATTTAAATTTGTAGCCATTTTTATAGGTTTTCATAAAAGGCAGTGATGGTGCAAAGGATATCGAAATTTTCAATCATTTTCCAAACTGATAAAGTATCTAAATTTTTAGAAGTTGTAAAAGTGGCTCAATAAATTTTCCAATAAAGTTGGGTTGTGTTTAGTGTTTGCTCTAATATTGCTTGATTTTCAAGCTCAATCAATTAATATTACTTTTTTATTAATAAAATTTTCATGTCAGTAGTTATGCAAAATCGCTCTATTTAAGCCGATTTTTAGAAACGGCTAACTTAGTATTTATCTAGAAAAATATTAAGAGCTTGAGATTTTTCTCATAGATGGCAAAAGGTGTATTTCGGGGCTTAAGCAATATTTTTCTGTCTAAAATATTGAGTTAACCGTTTTTAAAAATAAGCTCAAATGGAGCTATTTTGCATCACTACAAGCCAGAAAGATTAAATTAATAATTATTATTCCTAAGATTATATTTAATTCCAATGAGAAAGATTTACAATAAAAAAAATTGCGAACTATTATTTCCATCTTTTTTTTTATTTTTTATTTCTGATCGGCATTTTTTTCTCCCTAGCGTTTTCAAATGTCGATATTTTATAGCGATCTCGTGGGTAAAAGTTCACTTGGTCTTATGGCCAGTCCGCTGCTGCAGTATAATAAATTTAATTAAACATTTTAATATTTATCATATATGATAAGGTACACTAGATGTTCCAGGGTTAAAAAGGCCGCAAAAAGCCTGGGCGAGAAATTGTCCCAGAACGGGCCTTTTATAATAGGGATGGTGATTATGACATTTTTCACCGTGTTCGGCATATCTCTCGTCATATCTCAAGTTTTGAAGAAGCGGATCGTTTCAATAGATAACCCTGTGGTTACGAGTAAAAAAAAACTTTTTTTGTTATTTACGTTATTGGCAATATGCGTATACAGTTAATATGTCTGTCTAAATTTATTGGATATATATTCCATAACCATGTTTAAATACGTTTCAGTGGAATCCGATTTTTCAAATTTAAAACAAAATGCGCTTTTGATTGGAAATGTATTTCAGTATATTTGTAGAACACTTATCCTGAAAATTTCAGCAATTTGGTCAAGAAAATTTTTGAGTTATTTTTAAATTTCTGGCAATACGCAGATTTAACTATGGGATTAGTCTAAAGCAAACTTTTATAATTTTCCGAACCATAACTAACCCGAATCTTTGTACTAGATCATCAAACTGAGAAAACCGAATTATATAATTTGCCCTAACCAGGTTATGAGCGTTATGTTTTATTTCTTACTATTGTAATTTAGACCACTTTAAAAATTGACAACCATTATTAATAATTGACAACCTTTTGACAATTGATTAAACTTTTTCCTCGCGTGTTTTTTTTTCATAATTTTATAAGCCTGGGTTCTTGTTAGCGCTCACTTCCTTCTAGAGTACTAAACTCTGATTAATTTTTTTTACCAAAAATTTATGACTATGTTATGCATTTATATTGGATCACATATAAAACTTTTATGGCACAATATAGAATTTGCCCTTAAAAATAATTCAAAATGCTGCAATATTACAAAAATAAAAAATAATAGAAATTTTATAACAAATTATATATTAACTTTATATAAAAGATTGAATCCTATTAATTATAAAATTATACTTTATTTGGACAAAAATATATAACTACATAAAATTAAATTTTAGGGATAATGAGGGTCTGGGGCAAGTTTTAGAGGTTCTTACTAGCCATTTACCACATAAATTTTTATATTTAAAATATAACTAAAATCTTGATTTTGAATTTTTTAAAATATTATTTTCAGATAAATATATAATTCTTATTCCTAAAAATCAGATTTTTCTAGTGCTGTAAACATTTCTAAAAAAATCGAACGCGTTCGCATTCAACGTTCATTGACAAAAATCGAATGCTCTCACGTTCACGTTCACTTTCAAAAATAAAAGAACGCGTTCACGTTCGTTCAAAATTTTATGATAAATATTTTTTTAAAATTTAATTTAATATAAATAAATGTCCTATATTTTTTAACACAATATATTAGCCATGTTAAAAAATGATATAGTTTTATTTTGATAATATAATTTTAAATACAATATAATATAGCCAGGCGCGTACGCAGGAATTTGGTCTGGGGGGGGGATAATAAAATTTTTTAAGAAATATTATTGTTAATTAAAAATACTAAGCATAAATTTATTAGGGCTAATAACTTTTCTAATACACAATTTTAAACTAATGTGAATTAAAAAAATTATACATATAAACCGGTATTGAAAAACTATAAAATAAATGTGAATTATAAAATATAAAATGAATATAACCCACGATATGAATCACTTAAATGACCCAAAATTGAAATTTGAATTTTTTGTGCTTTTAAAATATACAAAGTATAAAAAATTTAAATGTTGGAAATATAAATTAATACACAAAAAGTTTCTTAGGAATAATTGTATTTTATATGTTTTGAGCTAATTTTTTTAATTATCTATCCTTGCTTGGCGTTAAATGCCTATGAATATTCAAAAGATCCAAATCATTCAATATACTTTGATGTTGTATTTCATAGGTATGTTTTTCACAGACTTGCAGGCCCGGCCCCTTTAATTTTTTTAAATATACCCGGGCCGGGCCCATAATTTTTTTAAAAAAAACACCCGGTATTTTAAAACCAAATATTTGAAATCTCCATTATTAGCTATAAAAATCAAAAATAAATATAATTTATTTTGAAAATTTTTTTTAAAAAAATCCGGGCCGTGTCCTGCAAATGGTACCTCTGCAAAGCTCTGTTATTCTTCTTAAAAAAGAGAATGTTCTCTCATTAGTTTACTAAAGAGCTGCTAATATATATATAACCATTTTAATACATTGGGAGTATAATCTAAAATGTGTTTGAAATAATGCAAAGCATCCATAGCATTTTTTGGGACTGTATCAACCATAGTTAATCTTTTAATCATAGTTATTCAGCTAATAAGGCATCATAAGATATTTTAACATTTTCATGATAAAAATCTAACAAATATTTATATTTTTTTTCTATCACCATATGAAAAAGGTTGGGAGAGGGGACATTTGTTTTATAATACTCTTTTACTGATCCTATATTAATGTTTTAACGATGAGCTTGCTTGCTGCAAGTCGAGGGGGACAAATATTAAAAACGTATAGCTTTGCTTTTGACTAAACAATAACATATAAAATATGAAATTCTTCATCAACATTAGCTCTAATTTTCTGAGTTCTAATAAAATGCTCTCCGCTATTCTCATCTTCTTAATCAAGTGAATGTTATGTTTTTGAAAAGTATTACATAAAATAGTTGTATAATTAAATAATACATTCTAATGAGAAAAAAATTTGGAATAAGTGTTGAATCCAATAATTTTCTTGCTTCTGGTAATATTTCTTTCAAGCCATTGTGATATTTCAGTAATAGCATTAATAATCGGCTCTTCTAACTCCATAAAAGCTGTTATTGCTTGATGGCGGAGACTCTATCTCGTTGGACAAGCTTGCAATTTCTTTTTCCCTGTTGGACAAGGAGTCTCAGAGATAATTATTATTTGACTAGAAATTTAGATAAATATTACGCCACTAAAATTTGAAAATAATAGGTAAATTACGTTAAGGAAACTTGAAATCGAAATTAATTGATAAAATAACTTAGTAGATGAATGTGATAAATAAATGTAATTAAATATATATATAGGAATAAATATTAACAAATATAAATTAATATTAACAATAATATATTTGAAAAATATAATCCGGCATCTGCATTTTTTGGCTGGGGGGGGGGATTTGTCCCCCTGCCCCTCCCACGCTGCGTACGCCAATGAAAATAGCGAATAAAAAGATATTTTTATTTATAAAAAATTTTTCTGATAGACAGGAACACTTGACAGTTAATATGGCATTAGCTATACTAAAAACGCACTCTACATGGGCAGATGAGGGTATTGCGGTATTATACTTAATAAACAGCTCTTTTAACGTGGAGAATTTATTAAAAACATTTATTGTTTTGTTTTTTGCTTCAAAAAATCGAAATAAGTTATCCTCCTCCAATCCATCCTTTTCTTAATCGACAAAAAAAGGATATCTCGAAATTAACAGTTCTTGCATTATCATTTCTAGGGTTTTCAATGCATTTTTTCAATAGTGCTATAATTTTATTTTTTATAGGTTCGTTCTGTGGAAGTTTTATCCATGGCCCTTGAAGCTTGGATATTGGATGTATAATTGCAGAAAGAACATATTGATATTCATATATATGTCCAAATCTTTAAAAAAATAAAATATATGTAATTAATTTGATAATGATAGGTTTAATAATTTTTATTAATCCCATTGAATAATGCTTCTATCAATAGTTGACCATAATTTAGGCCACTAATTTTTTTAATTTTAAAATAAATATCGTTATTGTTGAGGTCAAATAACATTATATGTATTTTTTCTTCAAATTTAATGATTTTACTTAGTTATATTATATAAAATAAAATAATCAATATATCATAATTTTATCACAATAATAAAATTTCAGAAAATATATTTTGGAAAGAATGATCCATAATGGGAAAGATTGCTCCTATTCCTATGTATGGGAACAGAAAAATCTAGTCGAAGTTCGTTTTTTTGAAAAAAATGCTGAACGCGTTCCTTTTTTATGACGAATATGTAAATGCAAGAAGGGGAGGGGGGGGGCAAAAGGATATATTATTTATTAAAAATTATTAAGTTTTTAATTTTATTACAATTTGCCTTTCAGGACTGGAATGATCTGGTCTCCCCTATGTGTATTATTTTTTCAAATTTTACCACACATTTTATTTTGTATTTGAAAATTAAATTTATTTATTATGAAATCAACACTGATTAATTCAAGTTGTATTATATTGCCAAATATCCTTTAGTATAAGCATGTTATTTAATATTTTGATCTATATCTTCGGAATCTCTCAATTTCACATCATTTACTGATGGCCATTTATAAATTGTGAAAAAACCAATTTGACTCTAAATGTATTTCAGCAAATGTTCAGTTCCCACACTTTGAATTTCGGATAATTTTACTGAGAAATTTTGAAAAATCAAAAGTTCTTGGATAAAATTATCTTAAAATTGTAGGGCAGATACTCACACATGCATATGTTTCCGGCCAAATCAAAATTTTTCTAAGAATCGCAAATGATTAAAATTGGGAGATTCCACGTCTCAGTACGACATATTTATGACCAAATATTAAAACTATTATTTATATTATATTAAAAAGATATATTAATTTATTTTTGAAATTTTCAAACTAACGAAAGAATTTTTAGAACGCTCAATCTTTTTTTTAAACAGGTGTTTATAATTTATAGTATCTAACCGTAACCTTACCTCTAAACCTAACTGCACAATGACTGATTACGCGTATTGCCGGTAACATAATATAGCTATTTAAATTTGACCATCTACCCCATTTTAAAAATGAACGATGTCGTTCGTGACTAATTTATTTTTTTGCTATGTCTTACTTTTTTAAAAATAATTTGGACTATTCATACAAAATTTGATGTATTTTAATAAGTAATTTTTGAGATATCACTAATGGTTAAGCCAAAATTTAAAAAATGCTAGACTATCAGATTGAGCATCTGTAATTAATTACATTTCAAATAGCTCTTCTATATAACTAGTTACTTTTTGGAGAGGATAACTTTTTAATATAACTAGTTAATAACTACAATACTCTTGGAATGGTTAATAAAATATTTTTCTATTAAGCCATAATAATTTTTAATGTTAAATTCATAAGCAATTAGTATAACAAACTTACTCTTGATCATTCAAAGATCAAGGGCTCTTTTTTTATCTTATTCTTTTTTTGCTTGTTAGACAGTATATGATGAAAATATAAAATTAATTCGATTTTGAGATATAACATATTTCACTCTGAGTTGTTATCAACCCCACATAGATACATTTGTAATTTTTTTTACCTGAATAAACGAAGCGTGTAACCAAATCAAGTGTTTACAATGTGACTGACTATTTAGTATTATTTAATGATTAAATTGATGCTATACGATTTTTTTAAACTTTGGGAACCGATTATCCGGTAAGTGGATTTTGAAATTTTTTTTAGTACTTTATATAAGAGTTCTTAATACTGAAATTCATCAATTAATAGCATGATTTACTGTCTAACGAATTAGCTTTTAATTCAGGACAATTTTTGATCATATAAAGTTAAAATTTACTTTTATATAAAAAAAAAATCAAACTATTAAAAGGTGTTAATGCTAAGGATCGCACCACGCTAGCACCTGGTAAAACAAAAACAATTCCTTCTGCGGTCAACATAAGAACGAAATAATGTAGATTTTATTGGATTTTTTTGAACGTAGAAAATGCATGTTATAATTATATTATTTGTAAAAATTGAATACAAAGAGAGGTTTTCTTTTCTGAAATCCAACACTCTCAATAATAGCAAACGAATTTTTTTTTTTTATAATAAGACAAACTTCTATTTACTTCATAAATAAAAAAAAATTTTTGGAGAAGTTTATTTTGTTTAAATTTTCGTAATTCAAGATTAAAATATCTTAATTTTATACTAAATGTCCTCCTATAGTATATATTATATTTTACCTATTATATTTTTTTTATTATGACATAACATATGAATGGTGCGTATTTCGAGAAAAAAAAATATAGTTGTATAAAAATAGAAAATAAAAGTAAATTTTTAATTTGTTTAAAATAATATATCTTACCAGTAATATAAATATTTTTTTATTATTGTCGAATTATGGGAAAATTAAAATAATATGCTACCATAATTTAAAAGAAAAATTCTAAAATAAAATAGATAACTTAAAAAAAATGTGAGTAGATTAGATCCACATATTTATATTATAACCCTATGTTGTCTCAGATAAAAATATCTATTAGGATCATCCGAGGTAGCCTTATGTTTTGTTTTTCTATTAATTTTAAAGAGGAGAGCGACGTGGTAACAATTGCCTAGAGTGACAATGATAGCAGTGACTGAAATAACGCTATTTAAGGACAAAAATTCTTTAAGCTTGGCATTTTCTTTGATCTCAGGTCATGGAAAATTCTGGCGAATATAAAATATAATCTTATGCTAAGGGTGAATCTTTCCGAACAGGGGTAAAGTAAGTGCATTGGTACTTTTATCATCTGATTTGTCTAAATAAACATTAAGGTTCTAAGAAAGAGGTCTTTTAATCTTGGCATTTAAGTTGCTCATTGCACTATGCCTGAGGCGATGGCCTTTTAAAAATGAGAAATATAACGGGTGATCCACTTTTTTCTTTACTTATTAAATATTGCAAAGGAAGCTACATAAAATGAAGTTGTAACCTGCCCTAGGCAAAATCCAAATACTTAACTTTTAGAGCTGAGATGGAGGCTTAGATTTTGATAGATTGCTCGATCCACTCATAATTGCTCTCTAGATTTGGAAATTTAACATTGATATGATCCTCTGTTTAGTTCAAAATTAAAAATCCGATGTAAAAATTTTACAAGCATAAAATATCAACCCTTTTGGAGCTTATAAAGCCCTAGTATATATTTTCTATTTGTAGATTTGGTTAGGGAGCTAAATTTGCGATTAAAGAGTTGGTTAACGATTATGAAGGCAATGATAGACAGATAAATGGAAGAGCGGATTCTAAGGCCTTCTAATTTGGATGGAAAGGATGAAGTCAAGATAAGTCAAATTGAGGATTTCCTCTAAATATAGTTACATCTTTGTAAAAGATTGGTGCACAAAATTGGAAAGATAGCATGGTGGCAGATTAATTTAGATATTATTGTTGTTTCAGGCATTGATAACATATTAGTAACTATCCTTTTCTTTGTTCCAATATTTGTGTATTTTTTTTGGTCTTTGAATTCTCGACGAAGATTGGGAGTTTTCATTTTCATTTAAATTGGAAAAGTAAGACATTTTTTTTATTTTGAATTATATTTCCAACAAAATTTCTTTTTATATTTAAACATGACGTCTAATCTTAATTAATTGCTTAGCCATATTTAATTTCATTATGTATTAAATTAAAATAAAATCCTACTTTGTTTACCCCCTTTTTATTGTATATTTAATAATGACACTCGTTTCACTATAAAACTAAATATATCCTTTGTCTAAAGGCCAATATATTGTTAATATTAAATATAGCGGGAGGAGTTTCTGGTGATTTTTTTTAGTATAATTTTATTAAAGAAAATACAAATCCAGATGTAAAGTAAATAGACTAAAAGAATCGTTTTCATCAGTCTTCTTGGCAAGAAGCTTACGTAAAACAATATTTATATCTTAATTCATGCCTAAAATAGGTCCTTTTTGAGGAAGGTTAATGTAATATATTCTTTTTACATTTATATATATAAGTTATTTGTATAAAATATTTTACCAGCCAAAAATTTGGGTATCCTTTTATATTGTATATAAAGTAAAGGTCTGAATTGGGCTGGGTCTAGCCAGACCGCCCATCTAAGTGAGCTGGGAGTGGAGATTAAATTTTTAAAGAACGAGTGGGTGAGTTGGCGGGTTAAGAAAAATATTTAGACTATATATGGGTGGGCGTGTTAAAAAATTTACAATGTTTACTTGTTATTTAAAATCATTTAAGTAAACATTTAAAAAATATTCTCCCTGAAAATAACTGTATTGTCGTTGGAAGAAATTAATTAGGTAAAAAAAATATATCGAAAACATGTTGGATTTGATTTGAATTTGATTTGCATCGAAAATATAAAATCAACGTGGATGAAAATCTGACCCCTTTAACCAAAAGCAATGAGAATTCAATTAAAGATTATTTTATTATAAATGCAATGTTTGAAATAGATAGCATCCACGTCAAAATTAAACAACAACAGGTGGGAATATATGGCTGTTGCAGAGGAGAGAATTACCTAATGACATAACAAAATATTTAAATCTTAAAGTAACAAGTTTTTATATAATTTCGCAAGATTTTAGGCTACTTAGTTTAGTTTAAGTTTACAATTTAAAAACAATTTTATTATTGGTTTCACTTTTTATTTAAATATTTCACTTGAGTAGAGAATATACTTCAAATGGATTTCCTACTTTGTTGGAAATGACAAGATAAAGATTTATCAGAGCTATTAAGATTAGCTAGGAAAATATTGGCAATTCCAGCAAACAGTGCTTCTTCTGAAAAAGGAATTAGCATTGCTGGAAGGTTTTTAGTATCAATAAATTACATAAATATTTTATTAGATTAAATAAATTCCTTATCTGTAATTTAAATTGAACATTTTTTTTATGCTTAATATAGTAATTTCCTAAATTATAAAACTTTTTTGTAGGGATGTAGTGCTGAAACTAAATATTTTTTTTTACTAGATGCCTAAAAAAATTAAATTGAAAGATGAGCTAATTTTTTTATGTGGGCTGCGTGGGTTAAGGAATTGATAAATAATGGACGGGTAAAAAATGTAAGACTAATGAGGGGGGGGGCGAGCAGGTAACGAATTTTAGACTAAGGGGCATGCGGGAGAAGTATATTTATTTAAAAACTGTGAGTGGGCCATTTTTTTAAATATTGTACAGGCAGGCTTATGGGCTAAAAACCCGCCCATTGCAGATCTCTAGTATGAAGTACTAAATTCGAATTGATTATTATAGTCATGCCATCCTAATAGTCAGACATATTTCTAAAAACGTAGAAAAATGATCAAATGGTATATAAATTACGACGTATATACCATTTCTGATATTTTAATTGTATATTATGCAATTTAGCATATGTATTTTGTTTGCTAAGGTGCAATATAATATTTTAAAAAAATCTTATTTATATAATTACAAAACTTAAAATAAAACAATTTTGTAATTTATAAAAAATTAATTTTTCAGAAATCAATAAAATTAAAATTTTTTTTACTCAAAATGGAAATCTATAATGAATTACAAGAAATTTTTCTATCCACTCTAATTCTTATCTGTTAATAACGATATAGAAAAATAAATATCTAGTCTTCTTTTATATTCAATTTCTTTGTATAATTATGAAGCATGTTAACTATCTTCGTTATTTAATTATTTTTGTGGCGATACTCTTTCAATCATGGGTCAAATCAGAGAACTATCCTTTCAAAGAAAAAGACGAAGTTCAACCAAATAGGGCAAATTTAAATGATCAATCTTTTATGTGTCCAGGTATTTTTTTTATCACTCCAAGAGTTTCTAAGATTGAGAATTTATCCATAATATTGTAGTTTAAATTAAATAGGAACCAAAACCGAATTACGGAACCGGTTTTAATAAAAGTGCAAGCAAAATTTATTTTATTCAAAGTGTATGATTCAATTTAGAAAAAGGGGGGGGGGAGTATATTTATTACTTAAATGTTAAAAAAAATTTTCATTGCTTTAACATAGTTTTGGAACCAGAACACTCAAAACCGCGCGAAATCTAATAATTGAAGCCCCCATTTTCAAATTTTTGGAAGTCGGGCATTTTTTAAAAAATTTGGAAAGGGAATCAAATTTCTAACTTAGCTTTTTGTTCCATAAAATGGGAATTGATTTCACTTTTTTTCCTAAAATATTTCATGTAGAGTTAAATTAGAATAAATTCTAGGATATTAATTTAAACTACCTACACATAACTCATTTTTAAATCAATATAATTAGTTAAGTCGATGTGGCCATATTTATATGAGTAAATTTAGAATTTAATAGCAAATAAAATTATTAACATCAATTTTCCCATAAAAATATGGCGTCATAGAAAGTAAAAGCAAGGTTAAACAGTAAATAAATTATAGGAAATATTTAAATAATCAAAAGAGAGTATTATATTAATCATTTTTTTTAAATTCATAAAAACTATATCATTATTGAGTAAATAACAAAAGAACACTTATAAAGGATCTTTATAACTTATTATCGCGATATCTGATGACCAGCTCTTCCTCTTATCCCATTCACTTCTATTCCAATTTTTGCTTTTATCAATATTATTAAATTCCTTTCTACAAAATGTTCCCATTTTGTTTGCAGCTTTTTTATTACTTTCACAACTTATATACACTCATGCTATTAACTAATCTGCTTATCTAACATGCTAGCTATCTGTTTTGTGCGGATGGCAACCGCGTTTTCCTATATATTGTTTTCAACACTGGATTGATTTCCAAAAACAGGCCGATTAAGATTTTAGTCAAAATAATTTTATGTAAGTCTCAATATTTTGCAAATAGAGATCCAATTCTGCCATCTAAGAGCAAAATATCCAAGTTTATAATTATTTTGGCTAAAATCTTAGACCCGTTTTTAAAAATCACCCATTACTAAAAAACATTTTCATTTTCATTTCCATCCTATCATGATTATACGTCATTTTGTTTATTAAACTCCACACTATATAGAATATTTGGCTAGATCTATTATATAATAGTGTATGCTTATCTCAGATAAGACCCTTTATTTATCCGAAAAGTAGACTAAGTTGTAACCTAATCTTGTGAAATATTAAAAGGAGTAAAACCATAAGTAAACCAGGATTTTTATAAGAGGGAGAGGGGAAACATTATTAGGTTAGTTTTTTCCCCAATTTTATTGGAGATCTTTAAGATTACCTATTACAGGGTTTTGAGTATGTGACATTTTTTAAATAATAGTTTTAGTTTTTTTTATAAAAGGTAAAATTTTTTGAATTATTATCATTATTTTAAAAAAATTATTAACTTTTACTTATTTTTCTTTTAAACGACTGTTTATGGTGATATATGGAATACATTTTTTTAGGGTAGAGATGTTTAGGAGGGGAGATTTTTATTAGCTTAGAATGATATTTACTAGAACAGTCAAATTTCTGGGGAGATTTCGCTGACCTCCACCTTATGAGTGAAGCGATCATATTTATTAATTTTAAATTCAAACAAGACATCTAAACCAGTTTTAAATACTTTTGGTATCATCTCACAATTGTATTTTTAATTCCTCCCTCAAGACCATTATATCTATCTGACTTTTTTTATTACCACTCTTATATGTGACAAACTGTTTATTTTTATTTTTGAAAAATATATTTCCATCAAATTATTTATTTTTTCCTCCTTCATCTATATATGTCGATGAACCCTTCTCCTCTACCTTTATTATTAAAATAGGCACCCCTTATTAATATCTAAACAAAAGTTATTCCAATCAATTACTCCTCTAAAGTTTGGCCTAAACTTTTCTTTCTAGCTTCAAACAAACTACTCTTAGGACTAGACACGATCCCTCTATCAAAATATTAAAACAAATTATAGTTATAAAATTGTGAATGAAACTGAAGATTTAAAAGGATGATAACAATTTAATTTTAATTTAATTCACTCTTTCAAAAAAAAACAAATTTGGTGGATAATAAAAAAAAATAATATTAATATTTTAGTTCTAATTATAACTTTAAAAAAAGTTCTTCTAGGGATCTTCTCTTAACAACCCCTGTAATAAGTAGTTAGAACTATTCGAGTTAGCCTATACGAACAGAAGTTAATGAGGAAAATGATTTTAAAGATGCGATATTTTAAAGAAATTTTACCAATATATAACGTGAGATAAAAATGGATTCTTGTCTAATAGAACACAATTACAATATTATTCATAATATAAGATGGTAAAATAATATAGGGGAGACTGGGGTTAGGTAAACCCAGGGGCTTGGCAAACCACTTAATCTCATTTTAAAATTAAATACACCAGAAGGTTAAAATTTTATCCTAATATAGTTTTCATTAGTATACATCTATGGACAAAATATATTTTGAAATAATTCATTACTAATAATTTTATTTAAGAAATAAAATTTTGATGAAATTTTCAAAAGATTTTTACATGACAGAATTTTAATTTTTATTAAAATATATAATCATTTATATGTTAATTAAATTTTTTTGCAAAGTTTAAACATTCTTCTATAATTTGGGTAAGTTTTATGAGTATTTATCAAATCTAGATATTAATTCAATCATGATTTGTCAATTTAGAGCTAGCGGGGTTTGCTAAACCATACACGTCAATTATGGCAGTTAGTAATGAAAAAAATTTCAAAATCTTGAAAAGGCAATTTCATGGTTGTTTATGATTGGTATTTAGAATTTAAGCTAAAAAATCTTAATCTCTCCTTAAAATTCATATTTTTTTATGTCAAAAATGTTTATTAAATTAGCCAAAATTAAGTTTCAATTTTTATATATAATTAGCTTCAATTTATAAGTATTATGATATTTGAACTATAAAATTATTCTATACATATCATTATTAATAAATAAAAATGCATTTCAATTTATTATGGCCTAAAAAACCAATGGTTTAGGAAGGCCCTTGAAGTGGTTTGCCCTACCCCGCTATTGGGGCTTGTTGTACAAAATTTTCACTTTTACAAAAAATAAAATTTAAAAAAAATGAATATATAAGATTTTTTATAAGGCACCTTTATAGAGTATAGTTTTAGGTATCCAATCATATATTTTTTTAATATTATCTATAAAACAACAAGATCTATAGCCAATTTTGTAAAAATTGGTTCGACTAACCCCAGTCTCCCCTAATCTAAAAATGTTGATTCATTTGACCTTGCTTAAAAGAAATGAGGATTAATCGAAATCGAAAAATGTATAAAGAATTATTCTTTAATAAATTGATAGGTTTGTGTTTAACGGAGAAATGTATAGACCTATCGTCGCGTATTTTGACCACTATGAATAAAAATCTTGACCCTTGCGATGATTTTTATGATTTTGCTTGTGGGAGATTATTGGACGATAGGAACCACGAATCCTTTTTGAAACTCGATGTTTTCGGCACCATGAATACAAAAAATCAACTCTATTTGAAGGATATGATGGGTTTATTTTGCAAAAAAAAAAAAAATAAATAAATAAATAAATAATTATATTAAACAATTAAGACATAACTTGTACCAAGATATGTCGTAAAGTTTTTAGAAAATTCAAGAGGATTTAAATAAATTTGCTATAGAATAAGACATTTTTCTTTGTTAAGACATATTATTTTATTATTATTAGGTAATTCGTTTATACCCTATTGAAACGGTCAATAACAAATAGCATTTATATAAATTATAAATATTTTTTATTTGTGAATGATTTGTCACTATTTTATAATAGTTATTTTTTTTCTTCATAATTATCATTTCTTGATTATTTTGGACAAAATAGATAAAAATAAGGTGCTACTGGTAACAATTCTCACACTTTTTGTATTTTTTAAAATTATTATTAGCTAAAATCTATACAATTACGAATAATGTAACTTAACGACGAAATATTATTAGAACATATTTTATTTATATATCAACCATACATATCTGGCGACCTTTTAACCCTAGCCTAACCCTAATCCCGACCAAGCAAGCCAGGAATAGATTTATATATATTTAAAAACTATTTTTTTTTAAAAAAATTATCTAAAACCTTGACAATTCTAAAAAAAAATTTTTTTTTAAATAAACCAATCATAAAACTACAAAATCTGAGACCTGCAAAGGTATCATTAGTACGGTACGGCCAGTATTTTTTCTTAAAAAAATTTCGGCCAGACTCGGATTTTATATTTTCAGGCCCGCCTCGGGTATTAAAAATAAAATTTTGGTGTATTTTAAAAAATTAAAATATGGCCCGGCTTGTGTACTCGGGCCGGAATGCAGGTCTCTGCCAAACATGTTTAAATTAAAATTAATAGACTATTTTTAAACCATATTTTAATACATTTTTAATTTTAAGATAATTTAAATAACCAACACTAAGTGCCTTTTTGCACTCAAAATGGAGAAAGTCAAACACCGATCCCATACTAATTATAGCACTTTGGGAAGAGTTCCGTTTTTTAAATTTTTTCATATATAACAAATTTTTTATAATGAGAAATTGAAAAAAAATTTAATGCGCCCATATAGATATTTAGGATTTTTTACAATACCTTTTTTTAAATAGAAGAAAAAATTCCTGAAATGATATTAGAGAAAATTAAGGAGGGAGTTTTATCAATTTTAAAGGAAAGCAAATTTTCGTTAGATCGCTATATAAAAAAAAGTATAATGAAAACAAAAAATTCTACCTAATCATATTTCCTATTGAAAGTGGGAGGAAGGGGGGGGGGTCCAACCACTCCCTTGTTGGTGTCATTGAAAATAACAATATATATGATTACTCAATAAAGAATTTAATAAAGATTTGTTTTCCATAGTTATTTTTAGTTTAAATAAAATATCCGGGATTTGATATAAACCTGGGCAACCTGCATTTTAAATAAGATCGCCTACAATATGTTTGCCCATTTGCCCAGAACCATTAAAAGTTTAAGCAGGGCCCTTATTGCCTGGTTTATCTATAGCCAGTTTAATAGTGATACCATTAGTTATGAAATTTTATCATAGTTGATTGTCATATTTATAATAAAATAAATATACGAATATTATTTATTAGACCTCCCCCAGGATAAATTGACTTCTTCTCAATACAAGGCAAAATTATATTATAACTCTTGCCTAGATGAAGATTTACCGAATATAACTATTCGACAAAAAATGACAACCGCACAAATGCAATATTTTTCTACCATAGTTAAAAGCATAGGCAATGATTGGTATGATCATCACATTTCCCTTTTCGACACTCTATTGGAACCTAAAAATGGGATACCAGAAAATGATGTTAAAGTTATAGTCATGGATAAGATACGAGATAAGCGTTTCAATAATTATCGTTCAATTAATGATAAATTTAAGTTTGAAAGAAGACATAGGAGTGATAAATTGCCACAAAAAGTTCTTTCCGTCGATAATATAGCATATTTTAACAGTTTACGCCAAAAACCGATTGATATAGCTTTCGAATTCGAAATATTGGCCAGAGAATATGGCTTAGATGCATTTTTCCTACTAAGCATAGGCCAAGATTCCACAAATTCCTCAACCAACATAATAATTATCAGTCAAGGTGGTACACCACTGCCTCCCGGTTTATATAAAAAATCATCTCAAATTGACAAAAAACTTTTGGATAATTACCTTAATTCTATGATCCTAATTTCGATGTTTTTGTTTGATATGAAAGCCTCTGAAGCAAGGCAAAAAATGGAAAGGATTCTAAATTTCGAAACCGATTTGGCAGAAGTAATAAGTTATTTATCCTTTTTAATTTTCCAATCTTATCTAGTTTTTTCTAAACGAATATTTTCTTCTTTATTAAAATTCTGCTATCAACTATTTAGGGATGGCTGGGTTAATATACTTTAGATAATTTAAGTAATATTTCGATTGAGTCTGTAATGATTTTTTTATTAGTTGAACTAGATAATCGAGGGGTAAGTTGGAAAAAGAATTAACGCAAATAGTTTTAAATACTATATTTTTATTATAAAAAACTATTTAAAATATGCAATAATCGAAATTTTTATTTAATAAATAATAAATATATATTTTTATATTAATATAACCTTGTTAAAATTGGTGTATATGTCTCCAAAAAGTATTTATACCAAAATCATAGAATAAATGAAACTTACTAAGCATAGAGGTCAACAGTCTTTCAACCATTAAAATATTCTGGAGTTTAGCTATGCCCCAGTTTATCACTCGGATTTAGATCTTGTTTAATTTTATTTTAATGATTGTGCCTCCGTAAACTCAATAATATTATATTGGGCAACTTTTCTTGTTTGAATAAAAAGAGAAAATTTTTCGAATAATATTAATTTAATATAGTGCATCATCACATTAATCTCATGTTTTTTTAAGACCATGAACCAGAACCCTTAGGAATACTGTTTGTTAGATTTTTAAATTAAAAGTGAGACCAAAGAAAAGAACAAAATCACAAGATAAAATAACTTTACTAAATGCAAGTTGCAATTCAGTCAAAATTAGGGATAAAAAGTCGATATTTTAATTTTAACATCTCGATTTTGGAAGATATCATGATATTCACTTTTAAAATTAAAAAAAATAGATAGATTATTTTTTATATTGTGTTGTATTTCTTTATTTATAATGATAAATTATTTTAATGGTAAGGCCTAAATATAGTAAAATAAAGTTGAAAACTGAAATTTCTGTTATTTTTACAAATTTTATAAGTCTTTATTTTTCTGGACCACGGACCTGAACCCACCTAAACCTGGTTCAGAGATATTTCACAGAACCTGAACTCTTTTTTTAGAAGAAGGGTTCACTCTGTTTTTTACTATTAGAATTATACTCCTTTATTGTAACATAATTTTGGTAATAAAATTGTTTTCGGCTGTCCAAAACGTCAAAAAAATTTAAGTCTAAAACTTTATCATAAAACATAATATAAGCCTTTTAAAAAATAATAATAATAAAATGGCCAAAACATATTATTAAAATTTTAAAACATTATCGTTAAAAAATTAACGGGCTGGATAGGGCTTGCAAAAAGCAGAGATGCCAGGAGTCCTTAATAAAGATTAGAAGAAAAAAATATTTGAAAGTCTCATTTTGTTAAAATAATATATTTTATTTTGCTTATACAATTTTAATTAAATGACCTGCTACTATGATCATTCATTCATTAAATACGATTTCTTTTCCCATTTCCTATATTTTGTGTTTATTACTATAATAAGAAAATTATGAAACCTAAATCATTATCATTATCAGTTTGTTTTCCTTAGGAAATAATTCTGGATTATAAAAAACCGTGCCAGACTGGGCAACCTTATTTTTAAAAAAATAGAACCGGGTACAAATTTGGACGGGTCGGGCAATAGTGTTGTTAAACGGCTTGATTTGAGTCGATTTTTAAAAACGGCTAACTCAATATTTTATCCAAAAAATTATAGCGCAAGCCTGAAAATTTTGGTCATAGATGCCATGAAGGTTTGGACATATTTTCTCAAAATCTCGAGGTTTAGGCAATATTTTTCTGGATAAAATATTTAGTTAACCGTTTTTAAAAATCGGCGCAAATCAAGCCGTTTAACAACACTATCGGGCAAAAACTAAATTTCTACGAGGTCGGGCAATTTTGCCTCCTATAGACCCCCATTGCATTTATTCTGAAACACGATTTTAAAAAACGTATTCTACAAATAATTTAATTTTTTTAAAGTTGCTATAAAGACAAGGGTGAGACCCATAGCCATGAATTTGTTATACCCCATCGATTTATATAATAACCAAAAAATATATTTATTACCATATATAATTATGTTATATTTGAAGATAATGATCCCAGACGTTGATATAATATATACGAATGATTACGATAAACGACTAAAGTTAAAAGATATGAACCAAATTGTTGAAATGGTATATAATTTTTTTATCGTTTCTAAAAGAATAAAAATGAATCTTTTATTTAAAAAAGTTATACCGCTTTGGAGGGACAAAAGTAGTATTGCTAAAGGACTAGATTTTTAAAAACGGCTAACCGATATTTTAGCCAAAAATATTAAGCAAGCCTGGAGATTTTGCTCATAGATGGCAGAAAGGTTAAGACATCTATTAACGAAATCTCGAAGCTTGCGTAATTTTTTTGGCTAAATATTGGATTAGCCGTTTTAAAATAACAGAGATATTTTTGTCAAATTAGAAGAGAAATGTGTCAATCGATAAAAGATATATATATAAGGTTATAAAAAAATAATCTTTTATATTTCAAGATTAGACCATACCTATGTGTTCTAGTCTTTGATAATTTATATTATACAATACATCTATTCATGAAAATTATTGGGAATTAATACAATTAGTAGATGATAACATTTTATATTTAAATACTCGAAATAAACAATTCTTTCGAAATGGTATTTTGCAAAGCTAGATTATTTGACTTGCCATCTTTTAACCTTATGCACTCTAATGCCATTAATCTGAGAAAAATAAATATAGTATTTTAAATAGTTTATGGTGTAGCCAGGAGGCAATATGTTGTTAAGACATTTTGTCTTCCATTATTATGAACAATCTACAAATAAAAATAAATTTTTTTTTATGATTCCACAGTTTGATAAGTACCCAATTATTTTGGTAGCGGGATATCTACCTACCACTCCCCCCCCCCCTCCTCCGTCAAATTATTTTTAAAAAATGTACTAACTACGGTCTTCAAAGCATGAGTAAAATCCTCCAATAAATTATTTATTTATGGGGGAGAGGGGTCACTCATATGTACCCCCGTCTCTCATATCTTGAAGAAACCAAAAATACACATTTAATATACATAAGATGAAATTATTTTAAATCTTAAAGAAATAAAGTGCTAAATTCTTCAGTTAAAATTTTAAACATTTGAAGCTAAATTTGTTTAAAACACACAAAAACATTATAAAGTTTTATAATATTCAGTTAAAATCTAAAATTTAATAAGATTCACAGTTTCAGAATAAAGCCAGATCAAATTGACCCATCTACCAAGCCTGTTGGCATTTTATACTTAAAAATATTAATGAGCTGTAGTTGTGGTTTAACAATGCTTTGAATTTAGGAATACTAATTAAAATTACTTTATCAAAGCGTTTGAAAAAATTTGATCGAATAAAATATATTATTCGTATACAATTTACATTTTTGAATATTTAAATTTTAAGTTTAACTTTTATATACCTTTTTGGTGATGAGCTAACACAAAAATAATATTTTAAAAAATTATATAAAATAATTTATTTTAAAATTTATTACAAATTTTATCCGATTTTTGATCATGATTGAATAATTTTCTGTATGAAAATTTTCTTATTTATCTTATCAACCGACCATATGAGTTTGACATTATGTTCGTTTTTGTAACACATTTTAGAATTTTTTTTATCTTATCACTAACTATAAATATTTTTGGCTAATCAATCAAAAAGTATATTTCAGATTGACATTATATTTTAAAAATCAGTATATAATTAGAGTATGCCTAAGTATATTTTTTTTTAATTCAGCCTTTCATCGCCTAAATAAGAGTGAAGCCATCATTTAAAGAGGCGTAAGAGACCCTCCGGGAAAATTCAAGCCAATTTTTTGAAAATACAGCTCAAACTATGGGTAGAGACCAGGTAAGATTTTTTTAGTGAGGGTTGAATTAGTGAATGAAAAACACTGTATTACCATTTAATTATTAAATATTTTGCATAAATAATTTTAACTAACGATTCATAAAACTTTGTATGCACCTAGATAAATTGGCCCACCTTTGTCAACTCAATGTTTACCATTAGTGGAGTCAAAATCGATGGGAACGAAACTATAATGATCTCGCCCCAAATATATTTTCAAAACTTAAACAAACTTCTTAACAGATACCTCAGCACTGAAGACGGGAAAAAGTTCTTAAAAATATTCAATCATATAAAAATCAATTAGGAAGATAACAACTATAATTAAAGAGTTTTTCTAAAAAAATTTTATCAAATCCTACTTATCTCAATATATATATATATATACTTATTTTTTTGTCACTTGTTTTATTAATTCGTGAATTTTTAATTAATAATTTTTATATCAGAATTCTGCATGATTATTTGATATGGCAACTGGTATATAGTCTACTACCTTATTTGCCTAGACTCATATTTGAGAAGATTATTACTCCCAATGCGCCTAGATGGGCCTCTTGCTTGTCAGAAACCAATAGATTTTTTGGATTTCCGCTGGGTTCCCTATATATTAAAGAACATTTCAACAACATAACCAAAGGGGAGGTAAAATAAATCGAATTTCTTTTTTTTAAAAAAATATGTTTATTCAACTTATATTTTGGTTTTAATAGCCATATTAATTTTTAAAAAATAAAAACATATAAAACCATTGAAAAATGTTTTTAATAATTTAAAACAATTACTGAACCCAGGGATGGTTTTTTCGTTGATGGGGGGGGGGGGGGTCAACTTATCCAAAGATCTAGTATAGTTTATCATCAGCCCGCATCAGGAGAATTCAATAGAAATGAAATTGAGCGAATAAAAATAGGTAATTTTATAGAAATGAAATTGAGCGAATAAAAATAGGTAATTTTTTTAATCAATTGCCGCTTTAAGATTTTCATAGTAAGATTTTGTTATGTTTATTGGATGGCCTAAATTTTAAAATCCTGCTTTTTGCTTTACTAACATTTACGAATTTAAAGGTGAATTATATAGAATGAAACTTCATTATAATATTTATCAATAAAAATCATTAACATTAATGTTATATGGTAGTATTAGCTTCATATTATAATTTAAAGCATTTTCTTCCAATGATATTCATTACATATATACTATTGTTATTTTAAAAAAGTTGTCAGTTGGTATATAAAGAATAATTATATAATTGATTTTAATCATTACGAATTGCAAATTGATATATATTTTCCATTTCTCGTATACGATATAATATAATAATCATATTAGATAGATATATATACCATATTACTATATATATGGATAAAAAAAATTATAAAGTTTACAATATTAAGGTATAAAGCGATGGATGATACTTTAAAATTTAAATGTTAGGGAATTTTTTGACAATTTTGTAATGCAAAATATAAATCTTCTTTTATTAACTTTGAAAAACAAAACTTAAAAAATTTGTCATTTAATTCAAACCTTAAAAAAAATTATCAGTATAAATTATCTAAACAATTTTAGAGAATTTAAAGATTTTATATATTTTGAAAAGAATAGAAAAGGTCGGTATACTTGCAATAAAGGTTATATTTATACGTGTTATTTGCGTTATAGTCCATAAAAAAATATATATTTAAGGAACATCGTATGGAGCTTTCTTAATTTGATATAATGCAATGTTAAGGCGCGGTAAAATGTGTGACAAAAATAATTAATAAAAAAATCTATCGCGCCAATTCTGAGTCATAAATTTAAAAAGGAACATATTCGTTACGCTTTGATGGATTGCTTAACCCCGTCCACCATTTTAGATATAATCCTTCCGTCCTCGGTGATGGTAATAGTTTCTTTGCCATTTTCGAAAACTCTTAGTCGTAAAAAAAAATTTTTTAAATAATATTTTAATTAAATAACAAGAAGTAGAAAAACAATTTTATAATAGAACCTTTTATAGATCGGTCTATGTCCGGGCAAAAAATTTGGACCAAATTAGAATTTTTTAAGATATTTTGGAAAGGACTCGGGCATAAATTGAATTTTTTTGAGACCTGGGCAGGGAATGTTGGCAAAAACAGGTCCGATAAAAAAAAAATTTGTTTGAGGGATGATTTAATTAATAAATTGGTGACAATTTTAATTTATATTTCCTAATATTTATCCCCACCCCATTTCATTCATAAAAAAAAATTTCAAAACTCAATAATTTATCTTATACTTTTGGCATATATAAAAATCTTTTAAATCATAAATTTACTTTTATAAAATTTTAAACTTAAAATTATTATTTTTTAATTAGGCGTTTTTTTACAAGGTTAATAGTTTATACTCCCAGAATAATATTTTATGCATTTAAAAATATGTTATTTTTATTTAAAAAAAGGTAGAGAGGTGCCGATATTAAATATTAAAAAGGGGCTGATATTTAACGTTTTTAAAATATTGGATCGGTCAGACATTTTCAAAAAATCCGAATTCGATATTTTCATTGTTTCTGGTAATATTATAATTGTGTAATAAAATCATATAATTATGTCTTTTATTTTATTAAAATATTATAATAATAAATTCATAAATGGAACCAAAATTCAAATTTGTAATGAAAAAAATCGACTTAATTTAATATTTTTTTTATTATAACTGAAATAATAAATTATAAAATATCCAACGAGTCGAATTAAGCTAATGTTATTAATCGGCTTGATTTAGCCGAATTTAAAAAACGGCTATTTTAGCCAATAGCAAATTATCCAAATTTGGAGATTTTTCTCATTTTTAGCAGAATGGTTTAGATGAGAGTTGAGTAATAATAATCTTGATGGTTATTTTTAAAATTTGGCGAAATTTTAACAGCATCACATTCAGCCATAAAAATTTCCCATATTTTAAACGAAATAAAAAAAAATTAAAATTATATGAATAAAATAAAACAAAATACACTTAATAATTCTTAAAAGTTAGATTTTTTTAAAAATAGAAAATATTAAATTTTTTATGACATTAATTGTAAGATATAAATTCGTATCAGTTATAGGTTATTGGATCAGTTGTAGTAATATCAGAAAATATCGGAGATAAGTGAAAAATTTGTGAATCGGCACAACCCTAAAACAGGAATGAGTTATCGAAACCGTTAACTATAAAAAAATTTTTTTCTTCATGAATTATTTTTCCTATTATTTCAATGTATATTATATATCTATAAGAAAAATCCTAAAATTGCTATGATTTTTTTTAATTTAAACAATTTTTAATGGTAAAAAACTGTTAAAGCATCACTTTTGCAATAATGAACGCATATTAAAAGCGTGCTAGATGGTATATGTGTATTTTTTTTAAATAAGGAAATTTTTTAATGATTGCTAAGGAACTCCAAGAATTTTGATTGTTAATCAAGAAAGTCATCAGATATGTCTCCATTAAAAAGAGCTCATTTCTTTTATCGTGAGAATGAATCTTGGCGATAATTTCCACCATAGATATCTGATTTTTACCAATATTATTTGATATACAACAAAGACATTGTTTCTTTTCTTTCGTCTGGTCTTTTTAATAATGAAGATAAATTTACAATTAATTTTTCCTAGGTAACACTACTCTCAGATATAATTGATGGCATCCAAATAGATCAAAATTAATATAATAACTGAAAGAAGAATGAAATGTTCATATAATTTGTTTTAAACTGGGTTTTATATATTTTTTTTTAATTTTTGTCTCTTATGTAAATATTACCTTTTTGGATTTTCGAGGAAAATGTAACGATCTTATTTTGTAACAAATTACTTACTATACACCACATTAATAAACATCATATTAAATAATTTTTTGTAAATACAATAGCAAAACATTTAATATATAAAAAAAATATGGGAATTTCATAAATTAAATTTTTTATAAAGGTGATTGATTGCAAAGACCGGTCATAGTCCATATCGGTCCAGTCTTGAATTTTTTCAGTTCACACGGGACTCTTGATCTTCACTAAACCCACCTATGAATCTGAACTAAAAAATCTTACTATCAGATACTTCAAGAAAAGCTGACCAATAAAAAGTGATACCCGATCAATGTTAATCTTATGGAAGCACTGGCTTGGTTCATTATAAAAACCAATTAAAGATCAAAATAATGTCATAATCCAATTCAGCACAACTGTTTAACCCAAACAATTTAGAAATATCAATGTATAATATAATTATAAGTAAATAACTTTTTAGTGACAATCTTCTTGTCATTGTGCATTTTGGTTGTTATAGTGGTCTTTTTGCCTATGTTAGCAGGTATACTCCCTGAATGGTGGCTGTTATGCCCATTTTGACGTGAAACATGGTCAGCATTAAAACTATTGTGATTTGCTTGATGATGTGGATGGTGATTATGATCGGATCTATTATGATTGGTGGGATTATTTCGTGATGGGTTAGAATTGTGGTTATAATGTGACCTATTGTGGTTTCTTATATTTCCCTGGTGATTTGTTGCATTCCAATTGTTTATATTGATTCTGTTGTGAATGTATTGTATGAAGGGGAAGGGGTTGTAATTTTTATATTTAAAAAAACTTATGGGAAAAATATGTTATAATTTCAAGTTTGTTACTTAAAGTATTATTACAAAATTTGGATTTTAAAATAATTTTATAATTTTTTCAAAACACTTTAATATATAATTTTTTTTTAAATTGTAGTATATGGATTAATTTCAATATTAATTTTTGAATTCTTAACTGAAATGAGATTGAAAAAATTATTAAATCATCTTTAAATTTCAATCATGGAAATAAATAATAACAAGGTGATATATATAAAAGAACTTTGAAAAATAAAATTAAGTAAGAGTTTAATGATATTATACCCAAAACCACTGCCTAGAAATGTGTGGACATCACGGTCATTGGCAAAATCAGAAAAATCAAATAAGCTAAATGGTGCATTGTTATGCATGGCAATTTGATCTAAAAAAATATATAATATAATAACAGGTAGGATTTAAAAGTAATGATATTTATAGTTAACATATTGTTCAGAAATAAAATGACCCACTCAACATTTTTAAGATTTTTGATTTAGAATTGGATCATAAAAATTTATTATCAATAAATATAAAAATAATAACTATATTTAAAAATATTTATTTTTTGTGATACTAGCACCCTATCAATTTTAAACCTACATATGTGTGTATATTATCATAATATTTTATAATCGTTGTACATCTTTTATAAATTTTATAAAATGATACATGGAAAAAATTATTAATTAACAATTGTCATGTTTATCCAATCAGATCATTACTTCAATAAATAAAGATTGTGTCATATAATTTTATGATTTATAATAGTTATTTTGCATTTATTTAATATCTAATTTAAATAAAATTATATTGATAATATTATAAACTATTTCTAAATTTTCTTTAACTTAAATTGATCTTTAAGTTTTTCTAAGCTAGTTTTCCCAGTTTCAACAATTTTTTAGGTAAAGCACTCCAATTCTAGACTGTTGATAATTGTTAACTTATAGATGATATATTAGGCCTTAATGATTAATCTTATGATTAGCTAAATAATATTAAGTATATTGAAATCTTTTTCTGAATATATAAATGCAGTTAAAAAAAGGAGAGAATTTTTTCAAAAAAAATATTTATTACCATCAAAAAAATTAAACCCAACTGGATTAGAGTTTCCAAAAAATTCCTTAAATATATCCATTGGATCTCTAAAAGCAAAACCAAAGGAAGAGGCAAATGGATGATTATTATTCATTGGATTTGAATTAAAGAAGAATGATGATATATCATCTGAATCAAATATGTTGAATCCATGATTAAAAGTTGAAAAGGTATCCCTTGTAGGATGATTGTTGTGGCCATGATTATGGACACCATTACGTCCTTTTTTGCCATATTTATCATAAATAGCTCTTTTATTTTCTAATTATTTAAATAAATTATAAGGTACCACAAATTTAAAAAAATACTATCTGATAAAATTTCATAGGCTTCAGAAATTTCTTTAAATTTTATTTCTGCTACTGCTTTGTCTTTTGGGTTTTTATCTGGATGCCATCTTAATGCTAATTTACGATATCTTTAAAATTTATAAAAAAATTGTTAATTATTAAATATGATATAATTTAACTTACGCTTTTTTTATTTCATCGTCAAGACATGTCTTTTTGAGCCCAAGTGTTTTATAATAATCGTCCATGCTATATTAATATTTAGATTAATGACATAACTTAATAAAACCTTAGAGAAAACTTTCGAAAGAACTATCCTTTAACTTTATAAATCCACGAGTAAACCAAGTTTTGATATACACATCTGTTAAAACAAAAAATCAGCTGTTATTTTAATCATATATTTTAATTATCAGAGCATATAATTTATTTATTTAGTTTTGAACAAATTATATATTATAAAATACCTATTAACCTATATCACGTTTTTAAGTTAAACCATTTTTTGAGATTCACAATATGTCATTTTTTTATTGCTAATAGAAAACAATTATATAAAGTGAAGATATTTGAATTTAAAAATTATATTACCATATATAAGATTTTCAATGTAGCTCTATAATATAAGGGTTTAAAAATATTTCAATTTATTTGTAGTTAATAAATTTATTCGCATATCAAGATTTCTCATATGATGAAAATTATTCGTGAATCTTATAATGAAGAACTTGATAATTCCATATGGTTGGATAATGAAACCAAACAATTTATGAAAGATAAGGTTTATATATTTTATATTGTTTAAAATTTGAATATTTTAATAAATTGATTAAAACTTTCAAAACACTACTACATAATTTAAATATATAAGCTAAAAGCTATGCACGACAAAATTGGTTATACAAATGCTTTGATAAACACATCATCTTATGATAATGCCTATAAAGAGGTTAGTTATAATTTTAAAGAAAATTTTAATCATAGAATATTTAAATAATTTATTTTAAAAAAGATGAGTTATTTATTGCGTAATTAAAATTTTGATTATTATGAATATAAATTCATTTTCTATGATATTTACTACATAGACTAATCTTTGTGGTATATTGGGGCATAGCACCACCCAAAAAATTTTAAATTGGTCCTACAAAAAAAATGCGTTTATATTTTTTTCCTACCCTATGTCTCTGCAAGTTTTATTTATTATTTTATTTTCACTGGGAATATAAATGAACTCTATACTGGTATAACATAATTTTTTTTTAGAAAATATAATTATTAAGTTAAAATATTTTTATTCAATTAAATCAATAGTTTTAAATTTTTTGTCAGTTTTTTAATCACTTTTTCAATTTTTTTTCAGATCTATCCAAAATGTCGTATAAAAATTTTATTTATCAATAAATTTTCAAATTTATAATATTTATAATTAATTTAAGGTCATCTTAATAATTATCTTGGAAATTCGAGTGCGATATAACAGTAAAAAAAATGGGTATAAGCTATGCCCCATCCAACCACTCGCGTTATTTTTTCTCTTCTTACCACTCAATGAATTTAAATTGTATTATTTTACGGTTGTAGCTTATCATTAAACCCGGAGAATTTTTACAAAACTATATCAGAGGAAAGATGTTTCAAAATAAAATATTAATGTTAACGCTAAAAAAACCTTATGATAAAGACACGTAAGAAATTGATATAAATAATATTATTTGTTTAATAAATGATTTATTTATAATTTCTAATTACGTTGTTCAGATAATTACACGATTGTATTGTTAGATAGTCGAATTTAAAACGGTTGTGACTTGGACAGGGCCATGAGTAAGAATTTTTATCTTAGATGGGCAAAAGATAAAGGAGGACTATTTGTTTGAATATTTTAATCAAATATTGAATATTGGATTCAACCACAAACTGCATATTTATCCATATAATGGATAAGCAAATTAGAATAAAAAAATAAAAATTAGCATTATGTATAGCAAATTATAAATAATTTATAAATAAGTAAATAATAGAATACTAATATATTAAGGTTAATATATGTAATATATATTTTTTATTACAATTCACTTCTAAAAATATGTAAATGAGAAAAATGCTAAATCGCCAATATTTAGTTTGAAGATGGCAAAAAAATTTTGGGAGGCACCCAAAATCCCTCTCAGAAGTTACGGCCCTAGACTTATCTCAGCCAACTAAATGATCCACTTGCGAATCATACATCGGAGTCGACTCATAAGTTCTAATTAATTTTTTAGAATTTATAGTTCTTCTTTGATAAAGTGATGATGTTTCTATATCGATATTATTATATTCGTAACAAAATATGATATAAAAATATTATATACAATATCTGAAAAAATAAGTCTATTTTACAGTTATATTGAATATAGAATTTAATATATTCTTAATTTAGATCCATTTTTTTCCTTCTAAAATATGGCCAAAATATTTAAAAATTTACTATCTGCTGAAGAAATGAGAATCATAACTATTTGGCCTACTTCTTGCCATTCGGCTCAGCCTGATTTTTTAAAACTTTACTTCTTTTTAAATTCATTTATAATCGTGATATTCAATCAAGGAGATTAAAAGAATTATAAAACGGCTAATTTAGCATTAACTCGGGATAAGTTTCTAGACAAAAATAAATTTACTATTTTTTATAAAACTGAAAGAAATATATATATAAATTTTTAAAAAATTTGCTAAATTTTTTTATAATTTTTATTATCTTGATTATATTTCTGAAAATTATGACTGGTCCGATTCGGGATGACCGAACTAAATAAGATCGAGCAGGTCTATGTAAATTGGATCAAATTGGGCTAAGTTAAGCGGTTAAGTCAGGTCAAATCGATATCAAATAATATAATTTAATGATTACTTATATTAAATCAACATTATAAAAAGTAATAATTTGATTATAAATGAAATATGTCAACGCCAACTCTTGACTCAAGCTCACAAATCGACTCAGGAGTGGAGTCCTGACCCGATATACTGGCTTGCGGGTAGGACAACCGGTATAAAATTCTTTCTTTGGCTGGGGTGCGAGTTTAAAAATTTTTTTCTAAAGCTTGGAATTGTGCAAATTAATATTTTTTTCTTTATGAAATATTATTGCTAGTCCGGACAATATACAAAATTATTCATAGCCTACGGCCGGTTTGAGTGGGCCACACCGACTTGTACTCGGGTATCTGGCTCTCAAGTCAATTTTAGTTTACTTACTGAATAAGAAACTTTACCAGAGTCATGACGATATATCGATTTCTTCAGAAATCATTTAGCAAAATTTTCAACTGCCAGTTGTATTTCAAGTGAAAGAAAAACGAGTGTTAGTCCGGATATATTTAGTTTTTTACTATTTTTCAGAGTTGTCAAAAGATATTTTTTAAATCAATCTGGATACAGATACCGATACATCACCTAAAAATGGATTTAGATATACAGATACATCGTCTAAAATCGTATCTAGGACGATATTTTTTTAAATGTATCTAAATACATTTCAGATTAAATATGCATATAGATAAAGATACAATCTTATCACTCTTATCTACAGGGTTCATTGTTGTTCGCGAATAGAAACTCTGATTATGATAGCACAGGTCGTAAAATTACGTGACGATGGGTCACGGTAGGTCACGGTTTGAGTGAATAAATTTTAAATTATTAGGTTTGACTGGGCGTGACAGGCCTTCCCAAAATTTTTACTCACGGATATTTTAATGTTCAAAATTGTTTTTTTTTGCAATTTTTAATTATAATATATATATTCTAATTTATTAGATCTTTTTGAAAAAAGAATAATTTTTAAAAAATAAAAAAAATTCCGCATTTTATAAACAACATTTTTTTTCTCCGTCTTATTAAATTTCAATTAAATGAAAAATATCTCAACTCTCGTTCAGCAATAGAATTTGGGAATAAATAAATTTAATTTAAATATTTTTTATTTTCATCCATCTTTACTATATATATCTATAATATATATAAAAGCCTTGTCACAAAATCATGTCACACTTTTCATGTCCCACTTTTCATATCACACTTTATAATATATATTCAAAAAATCGTTAATTTTGAAAAGTGCCTATGGCCCAATCGGGAAAGAACTTCGCTTACAAATCTAGATGGATTATTGGACTTGGGTTCGAACCCCGGCAAATGTTTTTTTTTCTAAATCTGGTAAAATTAATCTATAAAATATGTTAATAAAGTATATATTTAGTAATTTTAATTTATGTGTACAATTAAAAAGTCTTGTAAATTAAATTTTTATTTATTTGTATTTTATAATCTAAAAATTTATTATTGCTTGATGAGAGTTTTATGTTAAAACCCTTAAGAAGGATTTCCACATTGAATTTTATACAACTTTATATCTCTTAATTAGGTAATTTTTATGCATAAGTAAATATTTGCATCTCTCTTATCTTTTCTGAAATTTTCTACATGCATTCCATAGTTTTGTATATTTTCTCATAACTTCATAATTTAATTGTAGAATGTATATTTTTCATAACTTATAACATTTTTGATTAAATGTATAACTTTTTTGTTTTACTTATATATAATTTGACTATGATTAAAGTTAACCTCCTATTATTTCTTAACTTAGAATATCTTTTCATTTTTTCTATTGTAATTTAATAACAATGTCTTAAATTTATATTTTGTAACTAAGTAATAAATCATTTGGAAGGGTGGTGGTTTGTTTAAAATTTAAATTAGGATGAACATATTTTTAGCATCGTACTTTAATATGTATTCATGATTTTCATATAAATACTAGGAGCTTACCAGTAGAATGATAGGTAAATCAGATATTTCCCCTTCATTTGATCCTAATTTTGAAAAATTTTCCCAATAATATAAATGGCAAAAAAAATATATACATATTAGACAAATTTAATTCTTATAAACCCCTACATCACACCTATTTTTCTGGATCCAAGGAAAAAATAAATTATTCTGAGTTTTCCTGGGTTTGGGAAATATTTTTTACAATTAATATGGGCTTGGAAGTAGCTTGGGAAACATTTTTTAAAATTAATATAGTCTTAGATTCCTGAAAATTTTTTAATTTTAAATATGGGTTAGAAATTGGCCTGAAAATTTCTTTTGGAGGCCAGGCCTGATCAAAAACCAAGGCCCATGCAACTTTCATATTCTGATTGTATTTTTAAATGCATTGTAACTTTTTATATACTTTATTTCAGTTCTCAGCTATCAAAATTATTATGGTCTTTTTGAGAAAATTTTCCCAAGTGCGAGGACCTGGCTTATGAATTTTTTTAATATTAGGCATAGGTGTAATATTTAACACAGAATATTTATATGGCCCTCAAAGCTAATTTAAATATATTTTTATTCAAAAATAGTATTCATTCTCAGTATTAATGGGTTGGCCTTTGTCTGAAGTAGGGGTATAAAAAATAGATATGGTTTTTAGAGATTTACCTATCTCCCGGGTTGGGAAAAATTTTTGAAAATTACTATGGGTTGGCCAGGCTTGGGAAAATTTTTTTATAAAATTTTTATAGGTTGGGCTGGGTTTGAAAAATATTTTTATAAATTATATTAAGCTGGGCTTGGGGAAAATTTTTCAAAAATCTTATGAACTAGAATGCTCGAGAATTTTTTTATTATTTACTATGAGTCATACATTGGCCTAAAAAAATTTTTTGCAGGCCTGGGCTCGGCCTGATCAAAAAACCTAGGCCCATGAAATTCTGATTTTGATTGTAATTTTAACATTATGATTATTTAAATATTTTATTTCAGTTCTCAACTACCAAAATTATTATATTCATTGGGCTTGGAAAAATTTTTCAAAATTATTATGGCTTTGTACTTTGCCTGGGAATTTTTTTAATATTAAATATTAGGTATAAATGAGCAGTAATATTTAACAAATAATATTGGTATTATCAAGTAAAAGCTTTAAATTTTAATTTTACCAAACCAGTATTTACACTTAGTTTTAATGGATTACTGAAGGGGGGGGGGATTAAAAGAATAATAATTGGATATTATTTTCAAATAAGAGGTAACAACTATAATAAAAGTGAAGAAAATTCTCATTCCGGTCATTTTTGACGGGCTATCTTCTAGTATATATATATTTATATACTAATCATTTGCACTTAAATTATAATCAGTCATAATTTATAGGAAGATTAAACATCTTTATAACTTATTGTTTAAATTTTCTCATATTTACCTACAATCTAAAATACTCAATTATAATTATTTAATATATATTTAAATAACAATAATTTTTCCTTTACATTTAGATTAACAAGTTTTCTAAAAAAATATGTATATTTAAATATTAATTTATCTTTTCTCATCTGTTCTTGAGATATTTTAGGTATATCCTATGCCTCTCAGTTGTTTGAGTATATATTAAAAGGTCTGACCTTAATACTAAATTTTTTGAATGATTTACCACATAATGATCATAGTAAATTTAAGTAGTACAATGATTGTAGAGTCTTATGCACACATAAATTTTTATATTATTATTCAAAGAATGCTCGGTAATCTATCAAATTCTAGTCTCACAATAGATAAAGTTTACCTATGGAAATAAAAATTAGTAAAATATCGTCAACATTCTGTAAGTGATACAGTAATATTCAAAACCCTAAAAAACAGGACAACTCAATAAAGGAGAGATTTATTCTGCAGCCACTATATAGGTAGGCTTAATTTTAGATCCGAATTTAAAAAATCTTAAATTTTTAATGGACGATATAAAACAACCTTAAAAATGCTAAATGATATAAAATTAGATGATAATGCAGAAGTTATTGCTAACTATCAACAACTTTTCTAATTCATCCTACACATATAAATAACCGTATATTCTAAATAAAACATTTAGAGAATTTCTAGATGATTCTGATAAAGCATTAACATCTAAAAATTAATCGCTAATAAAACAAATAACAATGGCAATATTTTGAAATTTTGGAAGCAGGAAAATTCATTTCCTTTTTTGAGGAGATTAGTTAATAAAATTTTGTCAGCCCCGGCAAGTCCGCTTCTATTGAAAGGTTATTTTCAATACCCAATCGCTTATTAAAGGAAAGGCGAACATAAAAAAACATGGACTTTCTTCTTTTTCTAAATAAAAATTTTGATTTATAAATTTTAATTATTTTGTGCTATTAATATGGAATAGAGAAATAAAAACTATGTTAGAATAAATTCAAAAAAGTATAAAATTATGGCAATAAAGGTTAGAGAAATTTAAAAACGCCGTGAATTTTCGGGCTTGATGGGCGTGATCAAAATATTATCTTCAAAAATTTTTTAAACGTAAGCCTGAAAGGGAGTGAAATTTTTTCCTTGCCATTGTGAGGGGGTAGGACGTGAATAAAATATTAGGCCCGCGCCCAACTCTAGTATAAATAACGTAAACAACATTTTAATATCTTGTTATCATTCAATTTGAACACCATATAAAAAAATAATAATAAGTCAGCACACCTATTTTTATCATTCTTTTGCACAAATTCACATTTAAAACGAGCACTTATTATTAAAAAAAGTTTTTACATTAAACTTATAACTTATTAATTAGTTAGCGGAGTATCTATAAATTAAAAAAATCTAATGCATCAATGGTATTGTTTCTATTAATTAATGGACGTCATGGCTAAACATGGATTTATATATTCCTTTACATGATGAAAATATCCTTCATAATCTTGAACTGATATCTGTAGATGGGGGAAAAAAATGATATTTAATGCTTATTTATAAAAATTTATATATATAAGTTTAAATATTTTGTATTTATATATTTTTTGATTATATATTATATTCAGGGTTGTGCATTTGACCGGTCAAATACAATTCGGTCAATTGACCGATATTTGACCGGTCAAATATGGTCAAATTCAAATAAATGTTTTTTACACCAATATTAACTTTATTTTGCATTTATATAATATTATAATAAATCTATGTATAATAATAAATATCATAATATTTTTTAATTCATTCTATAGTCAATGTTTCACCCTCCGTGGCAGAGTCTTGTTCCGATTCATATTAAATATCATTATTTTCTTTAATATTTTTAATCAATCTTAAATTATGATACACTCTTACTAATTTTCCTGCTGTAGAAGCCTTTAATCTATTTCTGTTTTTCGTGTGAATATTGCCCCAAACCGACCAATTTCTTTCAGAAGAAGAAGTCGAACTAGGTAATGTTAGTAAAATATTAGCGACTTCTCTTAATGGGCAAGGTGGGCAAAATGCATTCCACCAACTTGAGGCCGAAATTTGATTGTTTCTTATGGAAGTTACAACTTTCCACATATTATGGCTATTAAATATACCGCTTTTGCTTCTGAAATTTACTATATTACTCAAAATATTTTGATTATCACCACCTTGTAAAATACCCATTCTTGTATTATATTACATGCTTCATCAAATTCAGTATTAGTAAGATGCTCCCCTTGATATTGGGGGTCCAATAAATAAGCAGCATTGTGAGCACATGTATTTATATCAGTTTTTCTCTTTTCAAACATAACCTTAATTTTTTTTTCTTGAGATGGAGAAAATATAGAATCATGGCATGATTGTATTATGTGTTTTTCCAAATTAAGCATCTCGTTTTTTAACTGGGCCAAAGTACATTTATCCCCTTGCACTTTCAACAATGAGGTAGCTAAAGGTTGGAGTATAGCTAAAAATTTTAAATTTTTCGTACAAAATTCTTCGTTTAATATATTATTGGTAATTTCTATGGGACAATTATCACAAACAGCTTCTTCAACAACTGATGCTTTTAGAGCTTTCTTGCATATTTGAATTTGCTCCATACATTTTATTGACGATGCCCATCTTGTTTGGCTAATTGTACTTAATGTAGATGGTATGCCATGAAGATTCTTATTACGGGAAAATACTGCAGCTGGTATGTGTTTATTCTTGAAAAATTTAACAATTTTTTTAATTATTGAAATATGGTCACTGAAGGCGTCCAATCGTTCAAAATCGTGAAAGAATAACTGCAATGTATGCGCTGCACAACCATAACATTGTATATGATTATAAATAGATTCAGATTTTAGAATTCTCCAGGCTGCTTTCATGTTAGCGGCATTATCAGTAACTAAAGAATATACTTTTACCGGATTCAATTCATGAATTACATTTTTAAATTCCTGGGCAATATAATCTGCCGTATGGCGATTTTCCTCAGTATTTAGAAATTTGTAGAACACTGGAACAGGCGTCATCACCATAAAATTAATAATACTCTCGTTTCTAATGTTGCTCCAGCCATCTGATACAATTGATAAGTAAGGAGCTTTATCTATTATATCTGCAACTCTCACCTCCATATCACCTGACGCTTTGTCTAGAAGATATCCAGCCAGCTGCCTTCTCCTGGGTAATGTGTAAATAGGACGTATTTTTTTAAAAAATTCTTGGATGTAGGGATTTTCAGTGATGTGGAAAGGTAAATTGCTCGCATATACAGCCTTTGCAAACAATTGATCCAGCTCATTTTTTTCTTTGGGATTAATTCTATCTATGAAACCGGTTATACAAGATTGAGATTTATATTTAATCGCCTTGCTTGTAGATTGATTAGAAATAAGGGAATCAAATTCTCCTGAGTCACAAGACAAAATATTGTTCATTTGATAATCATTCTCACTAATTTCACCCAATTCTTCATTAGAGTTAGACTTAGAAGTATTACAAATTACATTTGTGATATTTTTTGTAGAGGTTGATATTTTGGAATTTGAATAAAATTTTTCCTTAATTATAACAGGGCACATAGTACAGCTGCTTAATAAATGTTTGACCATTCTATCAACGTGGGTGATATAGGACATCTTGCAAAACTTGCACACCGCTTTAACTGATTTACCATCGCGTACTTCTTGAAAATGTTTCCAAACATGATGCTTTGGTTTGACCATAATCCCTAATATATTAAAATTTAACAAAAAATGATTTTGATTATTGTAAAGTTAATCAATCTTAACTATTTTATAATTATCGACCAATTATTCCAATAATTTCTTAATATTATAAATATAATATAATAAACTTTTTACCAGAATTGAATAATATTCCGTAAATCTGACCAGAACAATTAAAATGAAAATTAATTTTAAAAACCAAATATAGCAAGTGTAAGTAAAACAAATGAGAATTAATATAATTTATACTCGGCTAAATATATAATAAAATTTAAATTTATTAAAAAATAAGAATGAAAAAATTATATTACGATTATAATAAATCGGGTATTTTTATTTTTTTTAAGAAAAATGAATTGAAAAAAATAAAGAAGGCGAGAAACGGCAATGATTAGGCAAAAAAATAACTAAAAATATTACTATATTTAGAAAAATTTCATATTTATATTTTAATAAAAAAATAATAAGATTGATAAACATGCTTTTAATGCATACTAGTTAATTATATCAAAATATTTATTCGCCATTAATATTTTAGAGTATTTGAACGTATTTGACCAGTCAAATACTCCTCCGGTCAATTGACCGACATGACAACCCTGATTATATTAGTCTTAATTTTTTTTATGTATATTTATTTAAATTATATGCTCATATGAAAATGAATTTTGCATTCAAATTTTTTTATTTTTAAGATAAAAAGCATTAAATTACATATCAAAATGTAGCTTAAAAAATATTTAAAAATAGACACAGACACCTCTAAAATAGTATTTAGATACAGATGCAACATTTCTATATCTAGACACTTTTACAATCTGTTAATTTTACATCAAAATCGGAAATTGGTTTAAAACAGTTTCATTTAATACAATAAAAGTTGAATATTCACTTTCATATCATATTTTGTAATTCCCCATCCTCTATAAAATTTTTAGCCTAATTTAGAAACTATTTTAGTAAATTTTCCCTTACATTTAAAATTCGTTACTAAAGTTTTAATTCAAATTTAAAAATTCGTAGTTAATTAAATATATATAAAATAGATAAACAAACCATCATTTTATCAAAATAATCTGTAAAAGTACATTTTTAGAGCTATTCATTTTCAAAAAACGAGTCGGCTCACGGGTGGGACTTAGGTCGACTCGTGTGGCTTCTTGAGTCAGACTCAAGCAGGAATAGATTTTTAAAAACTGAAGGTGAGTTAAGGCTAATTCGACTCGGGGTAACCATTTATCACTAACAATATTTCACTCGGTAAAAAAAATATTTATTGCAAATTAAATTAAAAAGCGTCACACATTCTATTAAAAATATCAAATTAAAATTAAATAACAATTAACGAAGCATATAATTAAACTCATTATTTATTCTTGACTGGTCAAATCCAATAGCATTACCTATTTTGAACATGCCTAAAACTTCTGTTATTGCAAAATGTTTGATCCAAAAATTGACTTTTTTAATGGTTAAATAGCAAAATAACGAGAACTAGAGAAGGGTTAAATCAAAACCAAAGCCTTTAAAAACGAAATGTGCAGTAATTAAAGAGTTTACATGATGCGATTTAAAATATATTAAATTTCTTGAACTAAATTATTATAATTTTATTTAAGCTGGGACTTTCCCCCTGTTACCGTCAACGCATATTACAAGGCGAACGCAAACGAAATGGGTTATATTTTAATATATTAATTCTTATCAATGCGCGTCATTTATTATATAATATTTTATATTTTAACGTGATTTATTCAGTATTCCCAGCTGGCATTTTGCAAGAACCTTTGTTTTATTCGGACCTACCTACGTAACGATTTTTTTTTACCCCTTTTAATATTAATTCAGTATATGATCTTATTCCTATACAAAAATCTACTATATATAAAGGAATGGTTTTTTTTACAATATTTAATTGCAAATATTTATACATAATTTTTGTTTTAAGTGGCTATAATTTTGGTGCCCTGGGATTCGTAATAGCACATGAATTAATACATGGATTTGATGTCATAGGTTTATTTATAGCTATAACAAATTATATTTGTGGAGGTTTTAAAACACTTTACGCAAAATCAATTTACAATTATTTATTTTGAATTAAAAAGGTATTGATACCTAAAATATATTTATCAAATATAATTATTTAAGCGATTAGAAAAAGCAAAGTTGAAGAGTAAATATTTGCTGAAAGCTCTAAGCGAATTTTTTTTTCTTCAAAAAGCAGACGAACCTTCTGAATTATACTATTCCTTTCTTTAATTTCGTGCAGGAAGTCAATTCGACAAATTTGGCAACATCAAAAAGTGGAAAAACAAAAATTTTATTGATGAGTTCAATTATAAGACACAATGCTTAAAAGATCAATATTCAAATTACACTTTTAACGGGGAAATGGTTATATCTATATTTTAATAATGGAACATTTTTTAAAAAAAATTATATTAATTGTAAATGCTAATTGGAAAGTTACTTTTTTTAGTGACTTGTATTGAGTATAACTTTTTACAGCAATATATCTTAAAATTTATTACTTAGATGACTTTTAACAAATAAATAACTATAATAAAGTTGTGTATGCCAAATTACATGTGCCATAGTTCGATTTTATAGTTAATTGATGATTAACTATCGAAAATAAATTTCATGAACATATTTAACTGCAAAATTAAATTATAAATATATTTAGGCGACACAATTTAAACAAATAATTAACCAAAATTTTAAAACATTTATGATTTAGCGATAAAATAATATATAGACTTTAGAAAGGATATATTTTATTTCATCATTTTATTAGTATACTACTCAAAAACTTTTTATTATATATTATTGATTTTATATAATATTTAGATCAATGGTAAACTAACGATAGCCGAAAATATAGCTGATAATGGTGGAATTCGAACTGCTTATAAAGTTGAAACTCTTTAATAAATTAAATCAAGAGATAGAAGTTCCCCTTTTTCCCATCTTAAAAAGCTTGATTATTAATTATTAAAAAAAAAACAACAATATAAAAGAAACAAAACAAGATCTAAATTAATTGAAAGATTGTCTTCTAAAACTTTTGAGTTATTTTAAACTGATTCACTATCTCTTATTTTTAGGTTCTAAATATCAATTTTTTTTATTATTATCAAAAACTTTTTACAAATAACCATTTTTAAATTATTAGAATATATAATATTTTAATTAAAGATTATATTGAAAATTAGGTTGAATTCACAGTGGGATCCGACCCGACACGATTTAACAGCTGATTTATTTTTAAAAATCAGTTTGTGAGGTTTTTAAAAAATATTAATATTTATTTTATTCTTTAATTCGATTCATGATAATAATCTGAGAATTATTGATCTTATGAAAAGATTTAAAAATCGCTCAGCTGTTAAACGTGTAAAAAATATCATATTTCATTTGAAAAATTTCTGTGTCATTTTTTAAATCTATTTTAAAAGGCTAAATTTTAATATTATATACTATAGGCCTTCCAAAAACATTCATCTATGATAACCGATAAAAAACAAAATATGCCTGGCTTGAATTTCACAGCAGAACAAATGTTTTTCATCGCATATGCTCAGGTAATTTAATATATTTTTTTTGTCATAAAATTTAAAAAACAATGATTTCTTTTTAAAAAAAAGATTTTATATAACAGTAGGTCTGCATGGCTCGGCCCAAAGTAAAAATTAGGCCGAACTGAGCAACCTCCTATGTAAAATGATTTTCGACCCTAGGCAAAAATAGCACTGGTCGATCTCAAAATAAATTTTCGATTGTAATACGAGAGATATATTTTACATTAGGTTTGGTGTAGTAAAAGTGATAAAGCATCGGTTCATTTAGATTTGATACAGGATCTCCATAGTCCAAATAAAATAAGGTAAACTATAAAATATAATCATATATAAATATAAGATATCTTGATAAGGCTGTGTCCAAAATATACCTTAAAAAACGAATCAAATTGCTCGAAAAATTTCTTATTTGCATTCGAATGAATAAAATAAATATTTATTCGATTTGATTCTTTGAAATATTCGATTTAGATTCGAAAATTAAATTATATAAAAGTATTTTCAAAAATAAAAAAAATAAGAGTAAAAAATAAATTTTGATTTTATCTTGAAAGATTTCTTATGCATGAATATTGTAAAATATTTAAAATTTTATGTAAATTTGATCAAATAGATTTCTTCTTTAAAAAAATCTTTGAAGATTTTTGCCCAAATTTTTTTTTTTACCAAACTCTGGGAAAATTAGATTATTAAAATTTAAAAAGTGATTTATAAATTTAAAAGTAATTTATGGATGTGAAAATAAAGTTAAAAAAGATAAAATATTCCCTAAGGAACAATCTAAATTCTTATAAATAATTTTATAATATTTATGAATGAGTTTTATTAATTACAAATAGTTTCGAATTTTTAAGAATAATGTCGAATATTTAAAATAAATTTTAAATAATACAAACTATTTGAATAATTCGAATAATGGATAAAAATAAAATTATTTGACGAATAAATTTTCCTTATTCGTATTTGATGAATAATTTTGTTATTGGTATTCGTTAAATATTATTCGAATCGAATAAAACAATTAAAATATCAAATAACCGTTTTTTAGGTATAGTCTAAAATATATTTTAAAATATATTTTAAAAAGATCGTCAAAAATTACGAAACCTGTCTAAATCTTATATAGGGTCAAATTAAAACTCAACTCAAGTTCTGAATTTTTTTTACTAAAATCTTGACTCGAGTCATGGCTAAGTGGACTCGAATGAGTCGTTTACCAACACTTCCTCATAATGTATAAATATTTTGTATTATAATATTTATCTTGGTTGGCAAGCTTACAATGTTATATTTAATTTACTTCATTATTTATATTAGCGACTGCCCTCCCCCCACCTATTTAAGCAGCTAACATGTGTATATATGCATAATAAATGAAAAAATTTGACACGGTCAACAGATCACAGTTTATAAAGGAATATAAGATGGTTATAGGGGCTATAAAAATTGTTTAATTGAACTCCCCGAGAAGTCAAATGTTAGTGATTTCACTATCATATCTCGCAAAAATTTAATTAAACTACATATATCACTAACCTTTAAACCTAATTCTTATTACATGTTTAATTTTAAATATATTTTATCCATAAAAAAATCTTTCAATTGATTATTCCATGAATTGAACAATTATTGAATATTTAAGATTTTGATAAAGAGCGAAATTATTGATTTTTTTTAAATTTGTTTTATCAATTTTTACGAATTGAGTTCTGAACTTGAGATGTAAATTTAAAAAATTTTTTTTTTTAACATAACTATTATAACAAATTTATACGTCTATCTCCACTTTTGAAAAATATTCAACATTATGTAATAGAAAAAATATATGAAAAAAACTCTATAGCCCTGCCAGGAGAAAAGTTAGCCTATGCAAGCTATGCGAACCTATATTTTGATAAATTAAAATAGTGTGATTTTTTTTTTTGAAATCATAAAATATGGTTATAGATATATGTAATACTAATTAAGTTTTACATTTAATATGTAAAACTTAAAAATGGCTTGGAAATGGTTTTATCCTCGTAATTTCACCAAGATTTTTGTTTAAAATCTGAATAAAAATTATTGATTAATATATTTTTTTTTATTATTAAATCAAATGATGCATAGATATTCAAAATCATTTAAAAGTATTTAACATACATCTTGGAACTTTTATTTGTTTACTTTAGCCATACACATACTTACTACTAATTTTTATAAATGATCCCGTTTTTTCTTTTGAAAATGTTTACATAAATTGAATTTCATAAATTAAAAATTCGGAACCTCTTTTCAAAAAATATCCCGAATCATAATGGTAACAAAGCTAATTGTGACTTCAAATTGTTAAAAACAATAAATCAAAATTTTATATATTTTTTTATTATTAAAAATATTTTTTAAATGTGAAGATTAAATTTAATAATATTTGCATTGAAAAAAAGATATTACAAAAATATGATATTTATCAATTATTAATTTATTTTTTACGTTAATATTGAAGAGTGATAGAAAAGAAATATTTTCAGAACTCGAGTCGCTACTTGAGTTGTAAAAATGACTGTGTTTGACAACACTATTATTGGGTGTAGAGTAACATGAATTAAGTGACGGTAAATAATAAATATGTTATATTAACTTTATTAAATAAAAAATATATTTTATTAACTCCTTTCTTTTTCTTATCTAAAGGTATATATACTTTTCTAAAATATAAATTAGAATATAAAACGAAATACAAAAAAGTAAAATAATATATAAAAAAGTAAGGTTACGCCGTTTATAAAATAAAATTAGATTATAACAAAAATAAAATTTATATTGTAATAAAAATTATCATAATGCAACATTCTCCCTCTTCTGATAATTCCATCGGAGAAGTCATAGAGAGTTTGTTGTCCAAGTAGTTTATCATTTTGGTAATCAAGTTGTATCATAAATCATCATAACGTTGGCTTGTCCCAATCGTTGGTTTGATCAATTCGATTTTGCACGTTGGTTTGTATAATCACAAGCTTGATATCCATATCGTAAATTGTCTCCATTAATCATAGCTTGTTTGATAGTACTCAATTGTTATTATCATTTTTCCGAAATTGTTATTATCATAAATAAGTTGCGAATAAGAAATAATAGTTCATCATAAGAATAAATGAAGAATGATAAATCAATAAGATTGTTATATTTTTAGCGTTTTAATTTTTTGCGTTTTAATATAAGCGTTTTAATATTTAATTTAGTTTAT